ATAACTAACGAACTGTGTCGGCTCTTAGCATTGTTTTATATTCTAATTGCTCAGCTTTGAAATGTCATGCAATGTATAAATGCAACAACAGCATTCTCTTACATGATGCCTTAAAATGATTGGCATTTTAATCTGCGTCATTTCTCGAGACGGTGAGCTAATACTTCTGGGGGACCCCCCAAATTGAGAAAAGCTGCTTTAATAAAATGTTGGCCTTTGGAAAATAACACATTTTATGCATAACAAAGATCTTGATGGTAAAAATATTTTGAATACCTGCATCATACTACCACTCATTTTTTTCCCCTCTTTCCTGTTAGTTGTGTTTTATTGCTTCCAAGCAACATAAAATATTCTGCACATTGGGTGCTTTTAAATGGACGAAGCATTAGCATTTGCTTATCTCTTCTAGTCTTTCTCAATATTCTGTGGGGAAATTAATTTTTAAATAGACTTTGTTATAATCTATACACATAATGTTCTTGAAAGATTAGAAAGAAAAACACTGTGTTGCAGCGTTGAAGATAAAACTTCCCGAAACCAATAAAAAAAGAAGTTTGCTTTATCATACATTAAGGACTTAGATTTTTAGACTAACAGTTCAAAGTAAGTGTAAGTTCTTAGTCAAACGATGATTTTCTCAAAAAGTAGGCTGCTGTTTTAACATTAAGAGTTGTAGTACTTAGAATCCCACTCAGACAGCATGCTGAATATTTTTATACACGTTAGCTGTAAAGTTAAGCAGGTTTGATCCTGGCCAATCCCTGGGAGAAAATCATAAAAGAAAATTCCTATGTGCACATGGAGAAATAATGTACAATAATGTTACAAATAAAGACTTTCAGTAATTTAGTTCTATTTTCTGATGAAAAATCTACTATTTTCAATCATAAATGCCTTGGTTAGATAATAATAAAAAGCTTAGTGACATCCAACTAGTTAATAATCCTGGTTGCATATTTTTTACAACTGCATCAGGTGGTGTCATTCTGCTGTTTATCAGCAAAACAAAGACGCATTTATACATTGATGCGTATGAGATATCTTAGGACGTTCAACGACGCCAGAGATCGACAGGATAAAGTAATCGCTTTCTGCTAAGCAGAATGGACAGAAATGCTGATGCTACTGGAGATAAGTGCTGAGAGTCTACAAAATGAAGCCATGGCGACTCTCCTGCTTATTTCACTGGAAGCTGACGCCATGTTCTCTTTGAAAGTATCTTTATACTGATTAAGAATTCCAGGACACAATTGTGTCTTATGTCATATGGTCCCTGTACTACAATAATACTGGAAATAGAATTTCACAATGTTCTGATTCTAAATTGCTGCTTATTTTAAGTTAGGAAGAACAAACTTCATGTAATGAAGAGTGAATTGGGATTGCTGGTTCAATAATTTCATCCAGATCATTCTGTTCTCCCTTACTCAGGAGCCTAGGCAGGGGTGAAATCCAGCAGGTTCTGACAGGTTCTGGAGAACTGGTAGTGGAAATTTTGAGCAGTTCGGAGAACCGGTAGCGGAAATTTTGAGCAGCTCAGAGAACCAGTAGCAGAAATTTTGAGTAGTTAGGAGAACCGGCAAATACGTACCTGACTTTACAAGGCATAGAATAAGGAAGGCCTGGCCAGGAAGAGAGCCCTGAAGAAGACAAGAGGAATATGGATGGATGGATCAAATGGAAAATAACTTGTCAACCCAAAGAAATAAAACCTTTGATGTGTCAGTGTACTGTTGTTGCTTCACTGATAAGAATAGCTGCAGCAGTTATAGAAAGTAGCTTGTCGATTGTGAGTTTGCTAAAAGACATTGCCAAAATTTCTGGTAATATTTGAAAGGGACAGTTTGTTGTGTAAAAGAGTTGTTATTATATGCCGTTAGAGGAAGACAATTACTTTTATAGAAAGAGATTCTGCAATCCAATGAGCCTTCATTGTGAAATTTCATTTGAAAGTGGGCACAATTGTTAGTTTTTTTGTACAAAAAGATTAAATATCTGGAAGTACATGCATATACAAAGTTTAAGTGGCTGATTGATACAACACAAACATCAATTATTGTTCCTTGGTGCTTTGATGAATAATGAGAGATCTGTTGCACAGATTGCATTTTGTTAATATGAAAAAGCCTTTGTGTATCAATAACATATTCAGACAAATGCGATGTGCAGGCCAAGTTCTTACTTTGCAGAAAGTTTAAAAGCAATGTATGTTTTGGCTTCCGGTATTCATGAAGGACAAATATAATAGGTGAAAACAAAGCAGCTAAGCTATTGGATAAAACACATTTAATCAAAGTGTCTGTATAGCAGAAATCATTTACATGTTTCTGCTTTATAGCAGCATTTTTCTGTCTGGGTACTTTCTTAGACTCTTGTCTGTAACTGGCAGGCTTGTAAAACCCTTGATGAACTTCAAGGTTGGTTTACTATTGCAGTACACAAGTTTGCTGGCAAGTCAGACCTATGCATTATTTAATTTGATTAGGTTTGCAAATGTTTATGAGGTCTTTAGGCCACTTCTCATAAAATATATGCTTCTAGAAACTCAACATGTACAGAGTATAAAGCAGCAGCATTAATAGATTTCAAGCCAAGATACTAGCATTTCAGTAAACCAGACTTTTTCATTCCGGTACTTGGCAAACCATTTGGATTTGCAGTTCACCCAAAACTCCCAGCTGGGATTGCCAAAATATTTTCTGTGTATTACAGTATTTATGTATTTATGCTTCTTTATAATTTGGACTCAAAACTGATTAGGGGGAGTGGAAATTAAAAACTCGAGATGTTTTTATACTAAAAAAGTAAACAAAATGAACCCAAAGTAAACTCACATATCAGGAAGCACATATCACAAAACAAATAATATGTAACAGATTGACATATCGTGACCTGCTCCAATGTTTGTGGAAAAAGAGGTTTTTAAAGATCTTCTGAAGACTGGCAGATTTGATACAGACTGAACCGTTGCGGGAGGGGGGTGGGGTGGGGAAGCCATTTTAAGGGACAGGAGCCATGATAGAATAAACTGTTTACCTCAATTACCACTTAATTGTCAGGACATAAAAACACCCATTCTGTCAGATTTTACAGGGCTGGAAGAAATGTCAGAAGAAAAACTGACCCTCAGAATGCCAAGGTCTTTGCCATGAAGAGATATATAGTTGATCCCCAGGAGTTATTGGTATAGAACACATTGGTAACAAACACGGTTTGTGTAACAGAGATGTTACATGAGTGCACCAAGATGCATACACAACTGCTTGTGCCCCTGCATTTTGACCAGCCTTACTTCCAAATGGTCTTCAAGAACAGACCTATGTTGCAATAGTCCACGCATGAAACAGGGCTTCTACTCAGAAGCTTGCAGTTACAATCGCCATGGAGAAGAATTGACACTTTGCCACTCTTATCACCAGTGGGTAGGCTGAGACCTGAGCTCTTAACACTACTTGGTGGTATCCGTTTTGTGTTTTATGACAACATCTCTTCAGGCACTTCATTTCCCTCAAAATCCTCGGTAAACCAAACATTTGTTTTTGATTAGCGATTGGAGAGAAATTGTGCTATTTTATCAAGTGTTCTGGCCATATTATATAGATCACCCAAACATAAGGTGAAATGTCTATCAGACTGGATAATCTGGATCTTTCTGGGTAGTGCTTCAATAAATATACAGGTTGAAGTTGTTGGTTCCTTAGGGGTTTATGGTCTGGGATGGATGCCAACTGGACAGAGTCCATAGCAGATCTGCAGAATTAGTACACAGGAAAATGTCAGATTGATAAATTAAAAATCGTTGCAGGCCACAAAGGAATACCTGGTATATTTGGCAGCTGACGGAATGGCAGCAATGCTGGAGCTGGTGGTGGCACTGTGGCCTGGAAGTTTTGTAGGTTCTTGACAGTACATCTTTTGGGCAGCAATGGTGAATCTATTAACTTTTTAAAAATGTCTGTGGACTGTGCAAGTCTGCTCGGAAAGCTACATATTGGCAGGCCTGGTCTATAGTGATCAACAGGGCAATGTCTTATGGAATCATCAGGGATTATTTTGAGCTTGTAGAGCAGGAGTGTCAAACTCGATTTCATTGAGGACCACATCAGGGTTGTGTTTGACCTTGGTTGTCTGGGATGGGTGTGGTTGGGGTGGGTGTGGCCAGTCTGGTGTAGCCAGGGTGGGCATAGCCAGTCTGGTGTAGCCAGGGTGGGCATAGCCAGCCCGACGTCACTTGTTGAGGCTCCATTTTCAGCCGTGACAGCCTCCTGCAGCCTTCTGCCAGCGAATGGGCTCCGTTTTCAGCTGTGACAGCTTCCTGCAGTGGAGCCAGGGGGAGCTGCACGAGGCCCACCTAGGCTTTGTTTTTGGCCAAGACAGCCTTCTACAGCCCTTTGCCAGCAAAAATAAGCTTTGGGGGGCGTGCACAGCCCACCCGGGCTCTGTTTTCAGTAGCAGAAGCTGCAGGAGGCCATTGTAACAAAAAACGGAGCTTGAGAGGGCCGTGCAAAGGCACCACCGGACAGTCCTTTGCTGTTTCCAGGGCCGCCCCGTGAGCCAGATCTAAGCACCCCACGGGCCGGATTTGGACCCTGGGCCTTGAGTTTGACACTCCTGTTGTAGAGTCTGAGGAAGTGGCTCATTTTGTCTAGTTGTGGGCCATGCCATAGCTTTTGTGGCACGTTACAAACATTTCTGATAGAAAATATTTATTTCTGATAACCTTATGTTGTTGATTTATCTGAATGTGTTTTCTCCACCTGAATTGATGAAGGCTGCTGTAGAATTAGGAGGGAATATACTTGTGTTATCTTGTACAAAATATAAGTGGGTTAGCCCTATCAGTGTATTTAACAGTCTATATTGATGAGTAAAAGAACAGGTTAAAAGACGGAGCTGTGAAAGACGTCCACAGCTTATACGTTGCTTAAAATTCCGCTATGTTAAATTTTAGCTTGCAAAATAATTCTCATTGGCACATTCTGATTTATATCTTGTAGAATTGTCGTGTGTGTTTAAATTGATGTCCTCTGCTACTGAAATCTGCTTCAGCACCATGACAACCGGAGTAGCAGAAGTTGGGGAATTGCCCTTGGAGTCTTTGGTGACTTGCAAACTGTGCTTATCTGAATATTCACTAGATAAGATGACCGCTCTTCAGGATTGCAATTGCATCTTTTGTACCTCAGTAAGTATAGACAGCAGTGTATCTATTGTTGAAAGAAATGAATGAGCTAAAAAACTTCTTTGTAACATTAACTAGCAGATTAAGAATGCAGTAATTAAGAATGACATTTTCAATATTATATTCTAGAGGAGGGTAAACAACATGATGTTCATGGTTACCAATGACTTTGTGCACCAGGTTCTAAACAGATTCCCTTCATCTTTTTTTTAAAAAAATTAGATACTTCTTTTTTCAGATAATTTATTCATTTTTTAAAAAAAAAAGAGGGATATCTGCAAAAGCCCTAACCTTTCCCATCAGTAATAAATATACAGCTGGTATTTTTTCTGATTTTTATAATGCTTTATTACATTAAACCATGTAGGCTCAGGGTTGTCTGTTCTAATTGGGTAGCAGCATTCCTGTGCCTCTGCAACAGAGTATTCCCTACCCTTTGCTGACATTTTATAAGATAAAGGTTCCCCTCGCACATATGTGCTGGTTGTTCCTGACTCTAGAGTGCGGTGCTCATCTCCGTTTTAGAGCTGAAGAGGCAGCGCTGCCCGAAGACGTCTCTGTGGTTATGTGGCCAGCATGACTAAATGCCAAAGGTGCCCGGAATGCTGTTACCTTCCCACCAAAGGTGGTCCCTGTTTTTATACTTGCATTTTTTATGTGCTTTCGAACTGCTAGGTTGGCAGAAGTTGGGACATGTAACGGTAGCTCACCCTGTTACGTGGCACTAGGGATTCGAACTGCTGAACTGCCGATCTTTCGATCGACAAGCTCAGTGTCTTAGCCACTGAGCCACCGCATCCTCTTGACATCTTATAAATGCACGATATTACACCTAAAATCCAGCCCTACAGATCGTGTCCTTGTTTGCCAAGCTGCGGGTCCTTTTTTTATTCCTACTAACCCAGCAAAATAAGAAAAATCATGTAAAGGAGTGCAAAACTCTTGTCAATCTATCTGTCAATAGGACAACTTTCTCAAAATAGATGAAAAAAAAGAGTTTGACTTTGAAAATGGGCAACGTTTGGACTGCAGTGAAAAAAAGTATAGAATTATAGGAAAAAAGACATCCTTATAGGATGGGCAGTGATGTAAACTCTTATCCTGCCTCCTGATCACAGAGCATATCCAACTCCCCCCACTCGTGCTTCTTAGTGTGCATACTTGCACAACAGCACACAGATGCAAGTGGAATAGATAGACATAGATGAGGTGCCATGCATTGCTTTGTTCCACATGAGAAAATACAGATGGTTCCTATGGCAGGTGCTGACAGAAAGATTAGAAAGAACTCCAGAACTCTTCTTCATGCTTTCCTTAACTAATTTGGAATTTAGCTCTTTAATTAAAATTCTGCAGTAGTGGTAGCGGTAAGGAACGAATGGTGTTCAGATCAGGGGTGGGTTCTACTTACCTTTACTACCCGTTCGCAATGGGACCCACCTCTGGTATGCATGCAGGTATATATATAATTTAAATACTAAGTTTCCATATTCACACAGATATAATGGGTTCCTCTTAAGTATGCATCTTAATATCTGTAGCAATTTGTAACCAGGGGTGAAATGCTCCTGGTTCGGACCAGATCGCCCGATCCGGTAGCGATGGTGGTGGGTGGTTCAGAGAACCGGTAGCAAAAATCCCTGCGCCCTCCTCCACCATGCCCAGATGAGCCGCACGATCATCAGAGGCTTTTTCTTTTTTTACTTTTAAAAGCATTTTTTCTACAACCTCTTCCGACGAAAAAATGCTTTTAAAAGTAAAAAAAAAAAAGCCTCTGATGATCGCGCGGCTCAGCTGGGATCGTCAGAGGCTTTTCAAAACATTTTTTTCTGCAACCTCTTGGCCGAAGAGGTGGTAAAAAAAATGCTTTGAAAAGTCTCTGACAATCCCAGCTGAGTTGCCTGATCGGCAGAGAGGCTTTTCAAAGCATTACCACCACCAAGCCATGTTCACAGAAGCGGTAGTAACAAATTTTACATTTCACCCGTTTGTAACAAGTATATTCCTGTTGCACTCCAGGCCTGTATTATCTATTTCTTATGCAGTAAAATATCTCAAAAAGCTACCTATATATATGCATGTGACTGGAACAGCATATACATTTGAGTGGAATATTTAAATAATAAATAATTTGAGTGCTGAGGCTGTTTGGGAATTAAGCCAGAAAAGCAGGCTGCCAATAGCTCTGATCTAGTGAAGAAACCAATGTTCATACTTTTGATGTATAACAATGAATTCTTGAAAACCAGTTTGTATAATTGTAAAATTTTTCATAAGGTATTAATTTGGTTCTAGTTGCTCTTTATTAATTTTATTAATATTAATTTTACAATAATATTTTTTGGTGTAAAATTGTCTAGAGTAGTAAAAAAAAGGGCTAAATATTGTATTACTTGTTTTAAAAAAAACATATGCACATTAAGAAATGCACTATTACAAATTCTTCTTAATAATGGCCTTCTAGTAATCTTATTTGCCAAGAATAGTAGATTGTACCAACTGAAGTTCAGTGACATAGACTTCACATTTCACAAAATGTTTGTGGCTTACACTCTTACAACATTTATGTGAACTCTTAACAAGTTCATTTGGGGTGAGTTTGATAATGTATACTTTATTTTGAAACCTGAATATTATTTCAGCATTTTGTTCATGTAAATTAGACTTCAAGAGAAGACCTTGGGTGTTGTCTCAGTGTCTTTCAGCCTTAATAGCTCTTCTTACAAAATCTAATCTTACAATTAAGTTGATAATATCTATAGATCATTAATTGTATTTTTTGTAAGTTTTATTTCAAGGGAAGTATTTTCATTACAATCATAGAATATAGAGGTTAGGATCACTTTTATTGTAACAGCTATAGTAACAGAATGTTGGAAGTCTGAAGATGCATTCCCCTCCCTCATTCTATATTTCTGTGCACTAGGGAGGGGTCTGTTTGAGATGTTTATTGAAACTAATTTTTTAATCCAAGTTAAAGCCCCTCCTAATATGATTGTTGCCTTAATAATGGTTCATCTTCCTGTCCTTTAAGGTCATTCCATAGGTTCTCTATACCTAGTGATATAGTATATCAGACATTGATAAACACAAGATACAGTAGTACTTGTAATAATAGGTGTATGACTTTCTTGGTATTCTTAAAAAAAGAATCTGTCTGAACCAGTTGCGGCCCTACTTTTTCTAATATACCACATAACAGAGATCTGGATCCTGTATTTGCTTGAGGCTGCAAATATTAAGCAATTTACCTGTGTAGCATGTCCAATGTATATTAACCTACCCAGGCAAATGTTAAGATACAGATAATCAGGGGTGAAATCCAGCAGGTTCTGACAGGTTCTGGAGAACTGGTAGCGGAAATTTTCAGTAGTTCGGAGAACTGGCAAATGCCACCTCTGACTGGCCCCAGAGTGGGGTGGGAATGGAGATTTTGCAATATCCTTCCCCTGGAGTGGGGTGAAAAATGGAGATTTTGCAGTATCCTTCCCTTGCCACGCCCATCAAGCCAAGGCAAGCCACGTCCGCCAAGCCACGCCCACAGAACCAGTAGTAAAAAAATTTGAATTTCAGCACTGCAGATAATCCTTGAGTTACGATCACAACTGAGCCCAAAATTTATGTTGCTAAGCAAGACAGTTGTTAAGTAGGTTTTGCCTCATTTTATGTCCTTTCTTGCCACAGTTGTTAAGTGAATCACTGCAATTGCTAAATTAGTAACATGGTCCTTAAGTGAATCCGGCTTTCCCATTGATTTTACTTGCCAGAAGGATACAAAAGATGATCACATGACCCCAGGACACTGCAACCGTCATAAATATGAATCAGTTGCCAAGCATCTGAATTTTGATCACATGACCAGACACTACCATCTGAATTACAGGCAGTAAGGTACTATCTTCTGAATTACAGGCAGCATATAGAGAATTATTATCCTCACATCTGACTTATGGCCTTTGGATAGTTATCTGGCTGGCTTCTGTGCATCTTGATTAAATAGGCTTTTGGTCTGGCAAGTTAAAGTTAGTTCTTTGAATTTTCAGTGCTATGTTTTGGGATGGCTTGAAAATAAGCGCAAATGTACATTTTATTTGCTATAAATCAGAGATACTAACAATTTATAGAGAGTATCTCTCTGCAGGGGTGTCAAACTGGCAGCCGGCGGGCCGGATGCATCATACGAAGGGGAAAAACGTCACGATACATCACGTGACGGCAATGTGACGCTGTGAGTTTGACACCTGTGTTCTATAGAGATAAAGAGTATCTCTTTATAGCAAATTCTATAAATTCTGCATTGGAATGAGAAGTTCATCCACACTAAGACTAGTTCTATTATAATATTTTAAATTAAAACAATTTAAATACCAGTTTGTCTTTATTAAAAATAAGTGATCTTTGTCACTTCCCTGCTCTTGTGTGATCAGCTGAATTTAACTAGCGAGAATGTGGCCTCCACAAAAGGTTAGCTTAACATTATAAACCTACTTTATCTTGTATACTCTATAGTACAGTGCGGATTGGTATCCAGTTTCTGTTTTGAATATGTCTCTTGGGAATTGTCAGGTAAACTCATCTGTTACTTCCTTTCTTTGTTTTAGGTTAAATTCTTTTGCAGAAATAGAGCTATGCAGCAACATGTGGTTTCAGTTGTTTATTCTGTTTCTCAATGCCCTATTCTTGAGACCTATGCAGAGAAGAAGAATGTGAACTAAGGATGAATGGATTTATGTGGAATTTGCTTGTGTGCCTCTAGAAATGGTATTATGAGAGACCTATTCCGGTTAGATACACATTTCGCTCTGTTCCTATTTGATCCCTTTGAACTAAGCTCTGTCATTTAAAATGCTTGTATTCACTTCTCATCTAACAGCAAATGCTTTTTGAAATGGCACTTCAATTTCTGTATGGTCGGATAACCGACAGTTGATTTCAGAAAGCTAAGCAGGATCAGACTTGGTTAGCACATGGATGGGAGAGCACCCAGAACTGCCAGGACTGGA